TGACACAGGGACAGAAGTTGAATAAATGCTCAACTTCTGAGGGAAAAATGGTGCCAGTAGACTTACTGGACCCAGGGTTACCACAAACTTTCAGTTTGTAAAAATAAAAATAATAATAATTATCTGCCAAGTGTGGTGAGATGAGGTGCACCTGTTTACAAGTTGCATAGTGATGTCATGCAAAAGTATGGGCTCTTATTTTAGGGTGTGACTTGGTTTGTGCTTGACTATGCACACCATCTTATAAAAGGCCTAAGTTATGAGACCTTTAGTTTCACTTTTAGAAAAGCACATGTTAATCTTTTGTGGGTAATGTATTGCATTTGTATGTGTGTTTATGGGGAAGATGAAAATGGAGTGGGCATTACACTGTATTTAGTAGAGCTGTGAAAGTGACTGCCTTAAGTTGTCCTGTGTACCTAACACCACCCCCCTCGCCAGCCTGAACCTGAGATTAGAGCCATTGCTTTGGTACCTCCTCAGGATCTCAACTGTTATTTATCATCACAACTAACACCTCAGTGACGCGGAGGAAAGATGGATAGCAGGGTAGTAGTGTGCCTACCTGTGGATTTCATCTTTTTCAGAAGAGCTGGCTCAAGCAAATAATCCCCTGTCTTATACTCCATATGTTATATCTTATCTTGCCTTGGTCTTCCTGGTTACCTGGGATCCTGGACTTGTTCATCGTCTTCCTTCATCAGACTGACTATCATGTGTTCCATTCCATCAGAATCTGAAGCTTGAAAAAAGTGAAAGTGAACATGTTGGTTTTTCAGTCATGTCCGACTCTTTGCAGTGCTGTGGACTGCAGGATGCCCAGCTCCTCTGTCCATGGGATTCTCCCAACAATAATACTGGAGGGGTAGCCATTCCCTTCTCCAGGGGATCTTCCTGACCCACGGATTGAACCCGGGTCTGCTGCACTGCAGGCAGATTCTTTAGTGTCTGCGCCACCTGGGAAGCCCTTTAAAAATTAGTTGCTCAGTTGTGTCCAACTCTTTGCAAACCCATGAACTGTAGCCTGCCAGGCCTCTCTCTCCACGGAATTCTCCAGGCAAGAATACTGGAGTGGGTAGCCATTCCCTTCTCCAGGGGATCTTCCCAACCCAGGGGTCAGGCAGGCAGATTCTTTACTGTCTCCTGCACTGCAGGCAGATTCTTTACTGTCTGAGCCACATCTAGACGTAAAAGTATTGTGTGATTGTCAGTCAGATAACATCTTTGCATTTTACAAGAGATGGAAATCTGACTCCACTCTAAGAAATGGTTATTGGTGGGAATTTTTAGCACTGGGCTCGTTGACATTTTCATCTATTTAGGTATTAAAAATTAATGTGAGGCAGGGCTTATTTGATGTAGAATGGATAGCTGTGCTCATAGACCCTTGCTGGTGACCCTCCTTGTTTTTGTCTTGAAAGCTGAACAGGTTTTAACTGGAAACAGCCTTATATCTTATGGCACAAACATTCCTAAGAGAAGAAGCTCACCAAGTTAAAATCCACATCCTTGCTAGGGTGTCTCATGCCCAGCCTAGGTGAGATCAGAAAGGGTGACGACCTCTATGATTGAACCAAGACTGTCCCTGTCCTGGTAGGGTTCACACCCACTGTATGTTATTAATTCTGGTGTGGGATTTAAAAATCATACCTGTTTATGGTCATCCTGTCAGAACTCTAGGAAAGATGTAAGGTGGTCTGTTGTATTTGTTTGTTTCTTTAAACCTTCAGAGTTGTGGAAATGCTGGCATATTTATGTAACCAAGTAACCAAGGCATATTTATACTTAAAATATTTGGGGAACCCTGGTTAGGAGCAGGTGATTAGTTTCCAGCAGACCAAATGCAGTCTGTGCCTCTTGGTGGCTCATAGTTTGTGGTGGTTGAAACCAGGGAGATTGGTGTTTAGGGTTTTGATGTACTAAATTTTAGGTCTAAGTTACAGCTTCACCCTTGCCCTCATCTGCAGAATTGCCTTTTTTTAAAAAGATTTTTTTATATGTACCATTTAAAGTTTTTATTGAATTTGTTACAGTATTACTTCTGTTTTATATTTTGGTTTTTTGGCCATGATGTATGTAGGATCTTGGCTTCCCAACCAGGGATCGAACCTGCATCGCCTACATTGGAAGACAAAGTCTTAACACTAGACCACTAGGGAAGTCCCCAGAATTACCTTTTGATGTATGATTTCCATCAAGTTGTTACATGGGTTTGTCTGAAGCAATGTTTTCCCTGCCCCAGGCCTGTTTCCCCAGTAGCTTCCTTTTTAATGTCACCAGCACAATTCTCAGAGTGCGAGTAATTTGTGAGAATGGGTGGGTTTTGAAAGGAAGCCTTGCGGTTAGGAATCGCTCTCTTGTGAAGTCAGCTGGCTCTGAGCCATGGTGCTGCTTGCTCCTCAGCGGCCTCATGCTGGAGGAGACAGTCCAGCCCAGTTCTCAGGGGACCCCCGAAAGGATTCCATAGTGTCTCCTGCAAGGGCTTCTTGAGCAGATGGCTGAAGGTTGCTCCCTTAAGTTTGGGCTGCATGGGGTCTCACTGGATCATTGATGAAGCAGATTCCAGAAGAGTCTTCTCAGAAACTGCATGAGCTATGGTTCTAGCAGCTGGGGAGTGTGGGTGCTGCCACAGATGCGGTGGCAATGGTCTGGTGCTACGTCTGTGGCTGCTGTGACATGAGCAGCGTTGTGTTGCTGTTTTCACACTCACCACGCCCTAGAAGGGAAGGCACGGACTGGTAGCACCCTTCTCTCTTCTGGTGGCACCTGGGGGCTCCGAAAGCAGAAGTGATCTTCCTGAGGTCATCAGCTGGCTGGTGGCAGTGCCTGGATTTGAACCCTTGTCTCCTTGTCTCGGGCTGTCTCGGCTCCTGATACTGTGGGATTCCGTGGTCCCACTGTTCATTGGCTTTTCAAGTCTGAACTTTCTGTCTTATTTCTTCTCCTTTTTTTTTTTTTTAACCCTCTCCATTTGTTTTTTGCCTTGCCTTTTCTTGTCTTCTCATATTCAGGTTGAGGTGCCCAGCCCCCAGCTGATTCCACCCCTGGCATTTTCTGGCTACTGCTGCTGCTCCCACCATGCGAGCCCCCTGCAATCTGTGCCACTGACCAGGGTATGCTCCTGTTGCTTTGTCTGTTGAAAAGCATGCAGGCAAGTGTACCAAGAAGTC